ACAACGGACGTCAAGATTGGATCCAAAAATATAGAATCTTATCGGCTAACTAATGTATTGGCGAGATAAATGTTTCTCTTTGATGCTGGCCATAAACTGAGCAATCTTGTGGGATTGGGGTCGGTGGATTTCAATAACAGCAAATGTTTCCTAGTTTCCTACAATCATAAATGTGGTGGAAATTGATGAAATGGCACTTCAAAGGACATTTGTGATTGGCTCAGCCCCAGTTTTAAATGGTTAGTTCCCTGAAGCCAGAAAGTGTTTTAGGATGAAAGTCCGAGAAGAGTCTCATTCACCCAGGTCATGGTACAACTAGTTGTAGTTAGTAGCTAGTGGTAGTAAGTCACGTTCACTGAAGTTGTTCCATATTGTTGAAGTGGTTTCACCACTTGTCCCAGTAGCTGTCTAAGCCGGTATACACACGGCAGTTCCGATCAGATCCACCTGTCATTTGTACAGACAGATCTGATCAGAAGCTCAATGTTAGTCTATGGACAGGTGGATGTATTTAACCCTTGCGGTGGGGCGGGGGGGGGGGGGGGGGGGGTGGGTTGTGGGGCAACTGAAATGAAATTTTTTATAAAAATCCCAGAGTTCAGCAGTTTGGGTGATTATAAGCTTCTTGGTTGCAGCTGAGCTTGCCTGAAAATTAAAGATTTGGTGCTTTCAAAGAATACATATAATAACAACCTGAAATGAAGTCTCTACTGCTATAGAAATAAATAAGCCTTAGGATATTATAGGATATGTATATACCATGCTGGGTGCAGGAAGTAGAGCAGACAATACAGAAGGAGGGGAAGTGTAGTCCATGCACACAAGGAGGGAGGAGGTGAAGTGTAGTCCAGGCACACAATGAGGGAGGAGGAGAAGTGTAGTCCATGCACACAAAAAGGAGGAGGAGAAGTGTAGACCAGGCACACAATGAGGGAGAAGGTGAAGTGTAGTCCAGGTGACAATGCAGAAGGAGGGGAAGTGAAGTGTAGTCCACGAAGGAGGAGGTAAAGTGTAGTCCAGGCACACAATGACGGATGAGGTGAACTGTACTCCAGCTGACAATGCAGAAGGAGGGGAAGTGTAGTCCATGAAGGGGGAGGAGAAGTGTAGTCCATACACACAATGAGGGAGGCGGTGAAGTGTAGTCCATGAAGGAGGAGGTGAAGTGTAGTCCAGGCGTGCAATGAGGGAGGCAGTGAAGTGTAGTCCATGCACACAATGAGGGAGGCAGTGAAGTGTAGTCCAGGCACGCAATGAGGGAGGCAGTGAAGTGTAGTCCATGCGCACACACATATAAAGAAGACAGATCCTCTCACCCTTGATAATCTCGGCTGCACTGATCAGCTCCTGATTCTCCATCCCCACATCACAGAGAGAATTCTTCTGCCCCTGGCATTGTTGTCCCGTTACACTGTCATGTTTGTCCTCCGTCTTCTTCTCCGTCCCCCTCCTCTTCCCTGTACACACTCCCTCCTGTCCCCCGTCTCTCTGTGCCCGAACCTCCTGGACTCACTCCCTGCTCTCTTAAAGTCGTCCGTCTTGGTTACCAGCGGCCAATCTGGGACGGGGCTCCGTTACTAGGGCTTTGTTTCCACTGACCAATCAGGGAGTGGCAAGGAGATCAGGCTTAACCAGCTCAGTGCCGTGCTGGAGCTCATGTACTCATCCACAGCCAGTGAGGGAGCAGAGCTTCATAGTGGAAGAGAACCGGTCACCGCTGACACTGTACAAGAGGCGGAATGATTGCTGATCACTCCTCATAAATGGCCATTTTTATATAACATCTTATCTAGCTTAAAGTGTATTTCCATGTTTGCAGTCAAGTTTAGGACCTCCCCCCTTACTATAAGTGTGTTATGTGTTCCCATGCACACAGCACACCTAAAAATAACTTTTACAATTGTTTTACTTTAAGCCCCCGGTCACACCTATGCACCGTGGCACTCGTTTCTGCAGCGCACAAACACGCATGACTTTTTTTGCAGAATTACTGCTGTGGCCTTCATTCTGAATGACACACCAAATGCACCTGCCAATGCACATGTACAAACGTTTTTGAAAAAGGCGCAGGCACTTCTTTGAATCGTTTGTCAAACGTTGGACACCCCATTGAATTGAATGAGCTGTCCAAAAACACTGCACCGCAACACGTGTAAAACGTAAGTACTTGTGCACACGCCAATGTGATAGGTCGCTTGAAATTGTTCAGAATGGCTTCCAATGTACAGCTAGGGCTCATGCACACAGGCGTCTCCACCTCTACAACATATATTTATCTGTAAC